AATCGCGGGGGACCGTGGAAAAGCATGCAGAAATTTGGCTGCCCTAAACGATTTACGCACATTGTACGTCAGCTCCACAACGGTATGATGGCCCCCGTCACGAAAGATGGCGCAGACTCCGTGGCATTTGCAGTGACCAATGGAGTGAAGCAAGGCTGCGTATTCGCTTCCACCCTCTTCAGCCTTGTGTTCTCTGCCATGCTGATCGACGCCTGCCGTGACGAGCGTCACGGTATACGCACCACCTACAGCACTGACGGTCATCCTCTCAACAGCAGGTGCATGTAAGCCCCCACGCGACCATCTACGACCACAGTCCACGACCTGCTCTTTGCCGACGACTGCGCGCCCAACACCTCGACCGAAGTGAACATGCAACGAAGCATGGACCTCTTCGCCGCCGGACGTGCCAAATTCGACCCCACAGTCATTACGGAAGAAACGGTGAGCATGCGTTAACCAACACCGAACGCTGAATACAACTCTCCTCAGATCACTGTGAACGGTAACCAATTCCAAACTGTGGAAAGCATCGTCTATCTAGGAAGCACACTCTAACGCAACACAAACTTCAACAGCTAGCTTGTCCGTCGGCTCACCAAAGCCAGCCAGGCCTTCAGCTGGCTATAAGCATTACTGCGGGACCGCCATGGCTTTCAATTGAATCCAAACCGAAAATGCACGAGGCCGTCGTCTTGACGACACTCCTGTACGGAGCGGAGAGCTGTACCACCTATAAAAGCCAAGTCAGGAAGCTCAACCACTTCCATCTCAACTGCCTTCACAGACTACTAAAGCTGAGATGGCAGGACAGGATCCCAGACACGGAGGTCGTAAAACAAACCGGAATTCTCAGCGTCCTCGCCGTGCTGAGACAATTGCAACTGCAACTGCGATGGAGCAGCCATCTGGTGGAAATGGACGAAGCTCGCCTACCAAAACAACTCTTCTAACAGCCACGCGTTCCAGAAGACCGCTTATTCGGTTGGCCTACGTACCCTGGTGTTGTTCATCGTGTTTCTCAGGTACGCGGGGGATGACTTCCTGTGGTGTACTGGGTATAGTACAACCACAGGAGGGAACATACAAGGGAACATGGACCTTTTCGCCGATGCCTGTCACAACTTCGGCCTGATAATCAACACTGAGAAATCGGCGGCTCTGCACCGGCCACCACTCAACGCTGCCTACAATGCACCTCACATCGACGTCAACGGTTCCCAACTGCAAGCTGTCGACACTTACACCTACCTGGGCAGCACCCTCTCTTGCAGTAGTAAAATCGACGATGAGATGGGACGCCGAATCTCCAAAACAGCCAAGTCTTCGATCGCCTTCAGAACATTGTCTAGAATTGTTGCTGTCTCCAACTCAGCATCAAACTTAAAATGTACATAGCTGTCATCTTACCGACGCTGCCGAGACCTGGACAGTGTACGAGAATCAGGCGCGGGGATTCAACCACTTCCACCTCAGCTGCCTTTGGAGTATACCAAAGCTGAGGTGGCAGGACCATATCCCGGATACGGAAGTGTTAGAACAGACAAGGATCCTCATAATTTATGCCATGCTGAGACACCTGTAACTGCGCTGGAGCGGCCACCTCGTGAGGACATAAGACAAGCGACTAATCAAACGACTCTTCTCTCCTCAACGAGGAGATCTAGTTCAGAGCCACAAGGACAATCTGATGACTTCCTTGATGCGTCTGCAGATCAATTCGGTAAACTTGGATGACCTCGGCCGGAAGCGACCAACCTGGGGGAGGACAGCGAAAACAGGAGCAGTGATCTACGGAGCCAATCGTGTAATCACCGCCAAGGCAAAAGGCGAAGCTCGAAAATCTTAACTGCCCTCGCGTCAACCGTCCCCAACATGCCCACGGTGTCAGAGAACATTCCCGGCACAAATCGGTCTTACTGGACACATTCGGACAAACTGCAGCATCCGTATGACACCAGCTGATGCCTCCCCGTCCACCTCTCCTCGTCTCCCATGTCAATAAACAATCCTAACGATGCTAGCGACCTCCAGTCGCCATCCTCCACCATCCTCCCCCTCCCTCAACATCTGCTGCGACGGCTCCTGCCCCCACCATCGATGCAACCGATAATGATGCACAGTCAAAAAACCTCACCACCGCCAAATCCAGTGAGGCGGAATCGGTCCAAATCTGTCCTCATTTTGATCGCACATTCACTTCATACATCGGTCTGGTCGGTCACTTGCTAATCCATCGCACAGAGGCTGACAAGCCAGTGTCTTGAACACTCACATGCACTAGCCACACCCTTCTTAACTGCTCTAACTGCCCCTACACATTCAGCCACCGCATGGAACTGTTAGGCCACATGCGCATTCGAGAAAACCCGCGCTAGACAACCGTCGGATAGACCATACCATACCATTCCACCCACCCTCCCCCACCAGTACCAGCACCAGCACCCACACCACGCATCAACATCATCCATCAGCACACAACGCGAGCACACAATTGGCACCTCTCCCATAAGCGATTAGTGTGCTTCTCGGCCCTCTCTCCATACATCCCCTCTGATGTATTTGTGATGCGAGCCTGATACTCACGGTGTGCCAAGTGCCGTGACTTGGAAGCTTGTCGACTGACGCCTCAACTCAGTCCACACAGTCTGCCCAGTTGTGTGTTTGTGTGGAGTAGCTGACTGATGGACTGAGAGTCAAGCTGCAACAGCCCCTTCTTACCGTGACATCCGGTACTCTCACACACGCCGTTCAACTCCCGTTGTTTGAAATCCTGGTGTGTGTGTGTGTGTGTGTATCGGGGGCCAGGTCGTGCATGTGGCGCGGGCAGACAAGTTCACTCAACCATGTCCGCCACCGCGCCCATTCCCCGCTGCAGTCAGTCTACCGGCCCGGACAGTGACTGGGGTGTGGGAATGGGAAGGGAGAGTGAGGTCAACGACTCAGCGCATTCCTCCTCATTATAAACAATCTGACGCGCTTGAAGCTAGCACGGTGCGCTAGAAGCCGTGGCTTGGAAGGTTGCCAACTGACGGGATAACTTGGACCTCGCAGTGTGTTTGTGAGGAGCGCCCGACTGGTGGTCTGCGAGTCAGGCTGTAATGGCTCCTTCTTAATGTGACCCTTATGGCACACCCACTCCGTGGGATCGGAACCGGGTGTGACGGCACGCCTAGGTGCGGCTTCGGCCGTGCCAACCACCTGCGGCCTCTCCCAGCTCCGGTCTTCTTAATTACGTCTTGACACCTGGCTCAGGCGGCGGAGGAGAGGAGAGTGCGGTTGATGCTATGAAAGTCTGTTCTCACTATAAACTAATCCGCACGCAAGTCACCGTGCTTGCTCTCAACTTTCCGTGGAGCAGACGTGGACATCATCGACAACGACGTTCGAACTGTCACATTTATAAACACACATACTTTTCAAATGCGCGTTTGCCTTTCCCCCAAAAATACAGAAATAACCGAAATATAGCCTGTTTTATAAAATGTAGCTACTTTCAAAGACTTACTGAAGTCTTTATGGTCGAAAACAGAATGAACCCTCCTTATTTTAAACATACTTGAAAGAGTATCCTACGGTTAGAAGCTGACAGATTTTTTGTCCATCTGACGCCAAGATCCAGTCCGAGTTTTAAGAGACCGAATTATTTGAGGATCGGATACCTCAGATACAACTGTACAATAAATGAAGGTTGGTCCAGTGGCTAATGGACTATGGCAGTTTAGCTGGAGTTCTCATTTTTCACTGTTGATAAATTTCTCACTAGTAAATCAAGAGATATTTCGAACTGATCGTTGGAAGTCAAGTCTGACGGGAGGGTTTACCGAGTCCGACGGTTTACGCCAACTAAATTATTGGAATTCGCTTTTTTATTGATAATTTTTCTGGCGCCTTTATTTGGATAACCAGACAATGGTTGATCAGAATGCGTGAGGTCGCAAAGTAATAACCTACAACTATGTTCGCTCTGTTTCGGTCAAATCTGTCAAGTATCTTCGATTGTTCCAGACAACTTCCTAGTGGAGATACGGAGTTCATTTCGTCTTAGAAAAAAGCCGTTTATAAACGACAATATGGCCACTATGGTCAAAAGTGTCTCCGTCAAAACAGGCAAAACCATGGGATGACCCTGATTATCAAGGCCCTCAGGTCAGGTCTCGAGTAGGGGTAGAAGATGGACGCCAGAAGAAGTCGTCCGTTGGAAGTGCAGTTGGAGTTTTTCGACAGCCGGACGCAGAACACGCGTCCGAACACACGGGAGCGGACACCCAAGTGAGGGCGTGAGTGCATTAGCCTTGGAGTCTATTAGTTAGTTTGGATGGCTGCGGTCGGCTGAGCACCATACACAGCGTCACGAGAAAACTACAACGTGTGAACGGTGTGAGTCTGCAATAGAAAAAGACAACGTACAGCAGACTCCCGTAGTAGGATCATAGCAGACTAACTGTCGCAGGGAAGGGACCTTGCGAATAACTGACTTAAAACATTCTTCCAGTTTAAATTTGCTTGTTGGGTGGTGTGTGGAGATGCCTGTTATTTGGTGTGAAGGCAAATACGAGAGTGTACAAGGGCTCTTCCCAACCTCAGATGTATGCGGAACGTTGAGGCAAATGGTACTTTTGCTGATGTGAGTGGACACGAAACAAACCTTGTGGCGGTCTCTGTCCGGTTGGACGTCGAGCAGGTGGAACGGGTTCAAGACTGAGGAGATGGTAGATGACGAAGTGGTATTTGAAAGTAACGAACGTAAATCTAATTATTCCAACTTCTACAGCAAAAATCTGCTTCATCCTGTCTTATGCTAGGGCCGTCAGCACTGCAGTGGTTGCCGGGTTTGGCGGAGATTGGAAAGTCTTGCGCACGGTTCTTATTGTGCCGTGTTCATTACTTGATGCTAAACCCGCCAGTGCTAATTGTGCGGCTGAATTGGACCCCTGCTTCGCTATGACCCCTTTTCGTTGATTGCGTGGATAGCTGGCGGCCCTGACTATTTAACGCCGTCAATGTCTTCTCTGAAGAAAGTTCCTATGACCAGATGGGGCAGTAAACTAATGTGGCGGTTTACTGAGCAGTCAGTGGACATTCAGGCTTCTTGCACTTGCGTTCATGTTTGGTTATCGCCGTTAAAGGTGAAGATATGTTTCATCTGCCCGACATCGATTGCTGCCTCCGCCTTTGTATGCAATCTTCTTACGGCCAGCTGATGCTCAAACATTCTCCCTTGCAGTCATCGTCCGGTTTCCCCAAGGTAAGTGTACATTCCGCGATTGCGCTTAATTTGGTAGGCCGACTTCTCCTAGTTGGGGATAGGGTCTACAGGTGACACCCCTTTCCGGTAGATTGCTGAGTCAGGCCATGAGCAACTCCTATTCCGAGTGTCACGGAGGGTCCAGCCACGACTTCGGGTCTCCCTTCATATACGGAGTGTCTCACCGTAACTTCGGCTAAATACACTCTTCATTTCGCCTTCTTTGTGAAGTTCGGCTCCGTTCAACGAACGCTCGCGGATAGCCATTGGTTTTAATGAGTTCTCGGAGGAGCTTCATCTCGTCCACTTTGGCGACTGGTGTGCTCCAACGTGTTTCCGCCCGACGGTACCGCGTGCGTACACACTTTCGTTAGTGTTGCTGTGGGTGGTTGCTGTTCTATCTGAGCATCTGCAGCGTGTTTGTCCTTTTTCCGTAGACTGTCATCGTCAGCTTGTTACCTGGTTGGTATCAGACGAGAACATTCAAGAACGGAAATCAGTTCTCCACCTCCTCTTCCATTATGAACTGTAAATCGGCGATGGTTGAGTTCAGTCGTTCTTCGTTGCAGTTAATCCTACCCCAGTCGACGATGACGAAGATACCGGCAACGCAGCGTGTCTAAAACGTGGGGTTGTACTGCTCAAACAGTATTCTCTTGAATTTCTGCAAAACCATCTAGAGATTGGTGAACCCGCCCGGGTGCCCTTGATTTGCCCGTATGGGATCCCTTTGAGGGAAAGATTGTCGTCTTTTCTACTATTGGTGCACTAAGCAATGTCAACAGGATTGCCAGTGTATCTAGTCAGTTAGGTGTCCTACCAGGTACATACGGACTAACAAAGAGCGTGTGCCGCTGTTATGGGCGTGGAAAGACTGCCAAAGTTTACGATTCTCTCTGCATATTATCGAGACTGTTGTTGCTGTATTTGTTGCTGTTGGTAGTGATAACAGGACCCTTAATGCTGCTATTGCGGCGGTGAATGAAATGTTGTCTCACAAGTGAATAGTAGCATCAAAAGCGCGTTGAGTGTAAGGACACTTTGACATGGAGCATGCGCTGGTATCGCTTATGCTCAGTGTTGCAGTTTTGTTCTTCTCGCTACCAGGATCACTCACAAAGGTCATGGAAAACAAATACGTCCATAATTA